TACATTTTCAAATTAGAAGAATTTTATTGTTTGATACTTATGGCGTTTGATACCATATTAGGAAGGTACAAGGTACTTGGTAGGTACCATACTGCTCGCTCATTAAAAGTCATTAAATTATAATAACCATCGCGTATTTCATTCGTCAATATTCAAATGATTTTTTCAAACATTTCAATCAGACATCTCGTTTATACTAAATCGGTGATATATTTTGTAATAAATCAATCTAAATCAGTTATTTTCTAAATTAATTTTACACAACAAATATTTATTTTAGACGGTAAATGTTGTTTTTCTAAATACGTATACAATGTCATTATATTATATTATATTATCTCGCACTGAAATTAAGATAAAAACTGACCATAACTACGTTTTCTTTAAAATAAAAGATTTTTTTACTATTTCCACTCTAAATAACTCCTATAATCTAGAATCCACTGTAGTTGGAATTTGTAAATTCGTTATGTCACTCGTAATGGGTTAAGATAGAGACAATGACGACTCAACTGTACAAATTTACAATATGTATAATATATTATATAGTATATACAATGTTTTATGTTATACATCATACTACCTTTCTAATAATCGTCTCTAAAGTTGAAAACAAAACATGTACCTGGGCCCCGGAGGCCTGAGAAATATTATAGATACCTACGTCCTATAAAACTTGTACTGGCTAAAAGAGGCGTTATATCCCACCGACGAAACGTGATAATGAATATTGTTAGGTGACGTTGGTGACAGTATCAAAATTATATTATTACTATTATTTTACATTGTACTTCACTACTGATAATAATATTTCGTTCATATACCTATTACCTATGTTATTTTGCATTGCGCGATATGAAGAAATATGAGAATTCTATGAGCACAACCCGATCTCTGACGCACTGTTGTTACTGTTGACGACAGCTGATATTCATTATACATATAGAGACATATGGTTCTATTAAGTACCTATAAACGAGTCCATATGGTTGACGGGCTGAGTAGCACTATGTACCTATAATTAATGGTACTACCTATAATAATATTATAACGATTAGGGTTTGGTAACTTGTTGCACTAAAAATGTTGATATACCTAGAATAACAGTTCAAATCACCAAAAGGTTCTCTACAGCTAACATTATTGGGGAAAAAACGAGGAAAACTGTATATTGTAGGAATATGAAATTTACTCTAATGTGATATCATTAATAGCTTTATGTTATTTATAATTGTAAATTACAAAAAAAGAAATGCAAGAAGTCCCCCAAACAATAATAATTTATATTCATATATTATATACGGTAATTTTTTTGTAACGTTAAATACTTTCATTGGATTTTTGCTAAGTGTTATGATTATTTATTTAAATGTATGTTAAAAGTAGAAAATATTATAGGTAGGTATTTACCAACTCTTGAGTTGTGGTCGTCCATCATGGAGAATGGAAAATAGAGTGCCTTGCCAAAGTTGCAAATGTACACAAAACCAGTGTTTGACAATAAATTATGAAACTATTAAGTATTTACAAAAATTAAGAATAATCGCAATATGATATAATCAAAATAAACACAGTCTATAACTTTTTTTTTTTAAATCATTCGTTTTAAAATTAAATTAAATGACGACATTTTTTAATCATGTAGTTTGACCTTCATGAAATTAGGTACCTACTTGCAGATTAGTGCGCTCGATAACAATTTATTTTTGCAATAAAATAAAATTTCTCACTATTTTAGATGTTGATTTTTTAGGTTTTAAAATTTTGAATTATTATGTTTAGCGACAGGGAGTCCATTTGTAATTAGTAAGATGTTTTTTCGTCACATTTGTTATCAGTTGTTATAGTGGATGACCTAGTAAATATGTACACCGCTAAAAAATATTCTACTTTGAACTCCTTGCAGACACGGTACATAAGTTTCACGACGAGGAATAGGTCTTATAATATAATATAATTTTCCCTTTACATATAGACTAGTAAAGACTGACGAGTGGAACTATAAGTATTGATGCTTCACTTTAGTCACTACTCCGGTCATCTGAATTTAAAATGCCTACAAATAACAAGCTATTGATCCATTATTATTCATATAATCACCATATTTTCGTTTAACAAATAATAAAATAAATATCTTGTATTATTTATTTATAATTTTTTATCCAATCATGATTTGGTTGAGTCATAAGCGTACTATAAAAATCAGCTTGTAGGTAAATTGTATTATTAATATTCTGGTTTTGTACAAACAGAAATTTGCTTACAGAGCTGTTATTGAAATGTCGCGTACACGAATATAAGCACCACGTACCTACTGTGTTATACACACGTGAGACTCTTTTATTTATTATCCCAATACCATTATATTTTCCGTAAAGGTACTCTCCCCGAAAATAAACAATCGTTAAATTCCGCTTAGCTATATGTATAATATTTACTCGCGTGTGTGTACAAAATACTGACCATATACCTACAATCGTGGTGGTCCCGCACGCCGTGTAGGTCGATTTTTTTCTTTATTATAATATTGTTATTATTGTTACCACCAAATCTCCAACCACACATGATTTAGTTGTGTCTTCTTTTACCATCATAATATTACAGTGACTGAAGATTTTTTTTATAAATTTCACATAATCGGTATACTCGTGTAGGAAACGTGTAGGTATCGAGAATAAATTATTCTATTACTTACTAGTTACCATGATAAATGAATGCTACTATAAAAATATCGGTATTCCGGTATTCGGGTGTGATTCAATTTAACAAAATGCATTAAAATCGGTATTTTTAAAGTATGCATAAAACACCAAAAGGGATTTAAAAAATATTAAACGTTGAAAGGTTCAGAAATGCTTTTTAATGTTGCTCTTTTAATAATGCTTAATTACACAAATTATTCTAATAAGTCTACAGTTGAAAATATGTTGACTAACCTAACCTACATATTGGTAAAACGGAATTTGTCATGTTGTAAAATACTTAATAATAATAAATTATACATATTCGTAATCACTGGACTCAGTTTACAAAAACAAAATGTATTGCTTCATCGTTTCATGCGTATAATATATAAATATATAATTATTTTATTAACGAACGTAGGTTCACGTCTCACGTGAAGCGATCGCATTAACTCAACATCCTTTTGCACTGCCCCCACACATCCTCTTGTTTCGTTTCCATACAAAACAAATAAACATTTCTAATTTTAATGCTCGTATTATAAAAAAGATTATACTCCATATTATTTATGAACGACACTCGGATGACGGATCATAATTTACTGTATTGACACACAATATTTTTATCACATTATTTCTGATTATTACATCAAAATTAATTAGAATAGTCTAAGAGTGGCGAGTATCTTTACATAGTCTACTGAGAATTAATTAGACTCACCTAATTAATACGTAAAAATATTTGTTTGTGTCGAATATAAAAATAATAAAAGATAATATTCTAATATAGGTAATATGACGTAGCTACGTTGTATCTAAATATATAATTAAATATTTTTTATTATTTTGAAAATTAATGTTTTAAAATGATTTTTTGGTCGTACTTCTCAAATTAAATCTAAAAGTTACAGTGTATTCAATATTGTATACGTATACATTTCCAGAACAATGAATAACTGTCTGAATATTATAACTTAATCGATTCATGTATAAAATTTATTGTTTATTTAATTTTTGTGGTTTTGGTGAACAGATCAACTCTGCTAAGTAGATTTTTCATAACCTGTAAATAAAAAAGTAATGCACTGGAAATGATCAGTTTGACAAGAATTAGTTCGACAAAAATACCTAATATTTCTTAAGAATTTGAATGTAATAATATCAATAATACAAAACATATTGACATGAATGGATATTGTATCCCTTTGAATTTATTAGGAATCGTTGGCAAACTATAATGTTGTAACGTAAATTAATTGAGGTCTAGGCCACTGCAGCACTTATGTTCTTATAGTTAAAAACTACTTCCTTGTAAGGAAATCATCGGGGTCTGAACATATATCGATATTGTTTGGTGCTATAACAGTCCTTTCGTTACTTTATAGTTTATAACACTGTTTAAAACCATCAAGGACAGACTATTTTCTATACGACCAAAGTGCATTGAAATGACCTAGATGGCTCACCATATAGGATGACAATCGCCAAATCTTCGTATGATGTAGGTAATGCCTATACGGCAGTACAGTTCGTTATAGGTATTATAGGTATATATATATAGGCGATGATTAAATTATTTATTATAAAATATTTATAACAGTATGCAAACCTATAGGAAATGTGGTACTTGAATTTAATTATTATTTTTATACCAACAACCCACTCGACTTTATGGTGTCAAAAAAAAAAAATGTTTATGGCCCTGAATCTCTCTTTTTGCAAACAACCAATCTCCCACATTTATCCGTCTATATTACGTGTAGGTTGAACATTTCCCAAAATCGTTATAGCAGTATACATAATACAGGTACATTGGGTATCGCATTGTAATTTAGAAAGATAAATCTTTCAACAGCAGTTTAAGAGTCATCGATCGATAAGAATTTTATAAAACAAGTATTCACGTTCGCATAATAAATAAAATATGTATTATAAATATTGAGTTCATTTTTGAAGTTGGGTTGTCTGAATACGAGGCCAAATTATGCTTATTTTAATTCTTGTTGTCCGTTTGTCACTATACTGTCTAAAATACTAAATCAACTATATCGTTTATGGGTAATGGCGCTAATGATAATTTACAATACACAAACTCGTTTATATATGGAATTGCATGCATGCAGTTTGTAGGTCTGTTTTGCCACCGAACATTATAGTAACCATAAATGGAGTTACGTATCTTGTATACTTAATTTATTGTTACATATTTTATTTCTACGTAACGTATAACACATGAATTTAATATATTTTGTATTCAAACCTTTTATAATATTATGTATTTTCGAATATAGGCTACAGAATTAAATAATAAACATCATGGCGACCGAAGTGGGATCGGACATCGCACTTATACAAGATGAGGATATGTTACGGAAAATGGTAATATATTAAGCAAAAATAAAATAAGACTTCAAAATCTAAGATATATATATTGTTTTATTTTTAGTGGCAACAAACCGAGGATTTCGGTAAGAAGAAAGAGATTCGTATGAGGATGTATAAACTTCGAGAACAACGTCTTAAAGAGTTTTATACGACAGGAGAAATGATTCAAACGGAAACAACATCTAAACGCTCATCAACTAGAACGCATACTGAATCTATTACGGATCAAGGATTTATGACTATGAAAACTAAAGAGATCCGGGATTCAGAATCTCCGACAGAAGATTATCAACGACAATCAAATGCTAATAAAAATTATTATGTGTCATCGAAAATTGATGAATCGGATGGCAATAGAGGAATTGTTGAAATAGAACAGGCCAGCTCTTTAAAGCCAAATGAAGAGTATACTCAAAATTCATTGCAAACGTCCATGTCTAGCTCTACGTCAACTAAATGGAAATCGTCACAGACTACTATTTCTGTATCAGAAGAAGTTCAAAAGGCTGAGGTAAATTTGAATTCCAAATTTATTGTCAATGAACAGAATAACGAAGACAGTCAGTTGATATACGATACGTCATATAATAATTCAGACAGCTCAAATATTGATAGTAAGGTAACTGAATCAATATCTAATACAAACGTAGACAATATTAAACGAGATGATAGTAATAAATATTCAAATGCTCATCATAAAGTTATAGAAACGTATACATCCAACGGTGAACAATTTGAGCCTGTATCAGAAAATATATCAAATACAGACAGTAATTTTATAGAAAATACATACATCTCAAATGTTTCATCAAACAAGTCCGAAAATGTTGAGAAAGTAACGGATAGTAAAATTATAAATGAACTTCATAAATTGGACTCTTATCTATCCACTCAGCAGTCAACTACAGATTCTTCTACCAAGTCAAATTCGATAGTTTCTAATGATGATAAGATAATCAAGAAAGTTGAGGATAAAGTTATTGATACATCAAAAGAACATATCGAAGGTCAAAATATCACCACATATCAACATTCATACCAGCCACCTAGGATTAGTGTTGATTTGAGTCCATCGCATGATGCTTTTGCTAAGAGCTTACGATCAACTCCAGAAAGGTCTAGTCCATCACCTTCCAGAGAGCGTACAAGTCCAGAGCGTAGATTTAAATCTGCTAGTCCTGAAAAGTATAGAGCATCGCCAGAGAAATCAGGAAGTCCTACTAAATCACTCAATTACTCTACAAGAAGAAGATTGTCATCCACTCAAACAAAAGGTTTATCAAAAAAACGATCTAATACACCCACTCGAGGTGACAAATACGACTCTTCGGACGATTCTGATTGTTCTGGTGCAACTCATGGCACTTATGATAAGTATAAAGGTTGTGACGCTAAAAAAACCTTGTTTAAGGAAGAAAAAAAAATTACTTCAACATTGAAGTATGGCCAAAAATCCTCATCAACAAGTCCAGTACGAAGAGAAAAATCTCCTGGATATAGCAGTGAAGGGTCAGTTGGAAAAGAAGTAAGAAAGTCCTCGTCTAAAGTGAAAAATAGCTCACATGAAAGTAGCCCTGAAAGAAGTGCGTTTAAACCAGTAAATAATTATAAGACACTTATAACTCAACAAGTTACTCAGGATAATAAAATAAATCGTATAACACAGGAAGATAATGTATACACAAACAATTATAATTCTAAAAATAAAATTAGTGATGACAAACATTTAATTAAAGTTATAAAACCTGAAATCGATAATGATTTAAATGAAAAAGAAAAAGAAAATACAGAACGGACCACAAAAAATACTGAAAATAATATCATAAATTCAAAAAATAATTCGATTCAAGAAAAATTCATCACAGAAGAACAAGTGTGTACATCTATTGAGCACGTGGATACTGAAAAAATAACAACACAACCCACGTATAGCATTGAAGTAAACATTTCATCTAGGGATAAATCACCCTCAAAGAGTGTTAAGAAGGAAAATAAAACAAAACAAGATGAATTTATTGAAAACGAAAAATCAAATGTAACTAAACAGAGCACTATTATTAATGATGTAATAACAATAAAACCGAAAGAAAAATCTCCAGTAAAAGAAGTTAAACCAGTTACCAAAGATACTAAAAAATACTCAACCATTAAGTCGTCGGAAAATATAACAAATACTTCTGACATTAAATCTGTTACACCTTCTAAAAAAACAATTTCAACAGTACCATCGTCGATACCTTCGCCAATTAAGAAAGTTGTACCTTCAACTTTAGAGAAAACCCCATCTAAAAAAAACCTTATACACAAGGATTCAAAAGACACTTTATTAAATAAAACTGTTAAAAAAGACCTTTCAAGAGACAAGATGGATATTAAAATTACAAGAAGTGATAGTAAGACTTTGATACATAAAAATTCAAAAGAACGTATCACACCAAAAATGGTCATCAAAAAGCCCAGTCATGAATTATTAGTAGACAAAAAAACTACGATATCGTCTAGACAAAAAGTTACTAGTCCAGAAACTAAAACCAAGACTCTGGAAACAATCAAAGTTCTCGAGAAGAAAGACTCAAAAAATAAACTTAAACCTTCAATTAGTCCACAATCTTCACAAAAAAAGTTAGGTCTTGTAAAATCAATTACTGAAACAAAAACAGTAGATTCTAAAAAGCCTACAGGAAACATATACTCAAAGAGGATTCCTTCTTCGAATGTAATTAAACCTAGAACACATAATTCACCAAAATCTGATATAAATGAAACTCCATCTAAAGTAACAAAACCGAATACCAAAACTATCTCAACCTCATCCATAGCTAAGCCTCAAATCAAGAAAACAACTTATTACAATTCAAATAAAACTACAAAAGTAGAAATTACTAAAAATGTAGGACAAAAATCAAACGATTTAGAGAATGAATTGCCTCCAGATAATTTTGAAAGTGATACTGACTTAGACGATTCCACCAACCAACCAAAATATATTAAAAATATATCATCCAATTCATCAACATCCTCTTCGTCTTCGGACGAAGACGACGAGGACAGAGAAGATATAAGAAAAATTCAAGACATTGATAATATAAGAATTGAAGCTGAAGAAGAATACGGTAAAAAAATGACAAACAAAGATGCATTATTAAATGTTATTGTTCAATTACCTCCATCGTCTAGAGAATCATCACCCGAGTATTCTGCGAGATTTGGCCAGCCATATTGTTCAGTATCAGACGATGCAAGTTTGCCAAGATATGCCGATGTTGTAAGTGAACCAGAAGATGTCAATGATTACAGTTTACACAGTAACAGATATGATGTAGTAACAGATTTAGATGAAGAAAGTAACGTCACAGTTGCTGACAGAGTTTCAAAGTTTTTAAATAATGTCAACAAGCAAGAAGAAATTCAAAAAACTACGGAAATACCTCAGAGTCCTCAAGCAGTTAGAAAAACCAAACAAATATTTGAATCTATTGCAAAAGGAAAAACTGAAGAGACCGATATAAATGACGTAATCAAATCGGAAACAATGAATATTGAAACTGAAGAAGTTCATGATTTATCAAAAAATAATAACACACCATCTTCTCTTTTGACAAGAAAAATTTCTGGAGCATCTGATTATAAAACTAGGAAAGACTTCTTTGAGAATAAAAAATCGAATGACGTATCCGAAAAAGTAACACATTTAACCCCCACTAAAATAACAAGATCATCGTCGATAAAAGACAGGCGCGCATCGTTTGAAACAAATATTGATAAAAAAACACCATTGAAAGACAAAACCAATGTACCGAGAACAAAATCACCAGAGTCTAAAAGTAGCTCTCCTGATCGAACAACCAAAACTCCCATAAAAATAAGCAAGACAGAAACATTTGACGTTAAAGTTGAAGAAATAAATAGATCTAGAAGACTATCGGGATCAAAAAGTGTGAAAGACAGAACAGCTACTTTTGAAAAGAATGAACCTACTCAAAAATCGTACAAGGAAAATAAAACTACTTTTAGACACCAAGTGCCAAACACACCTTTAAATACAAGTAGGATTTCAGAAACGCGTATTAAGTCAGCCACAGTGACCGACACTAAAACTGCAGATCGTGTCTTAAGTAAAAGAGTCAGAAGTCCAGAAAAACCTTCAGCTACCGATTCGATAATTAAAACCAACGATAGTGCAAGCAAAAAAGTACCATCAAAAAGTCCCGATAGAAAAATCACCGAAACTCCAAAAAGAAATAGCACAGCTAAAAGCCCCGATAGGCAAATAACAGAAACTCCAAAAAGAAATAGCACGGCTAAAAGCCCTGATAGACAAATCACGGAAACTCCAAAAAGAAATAACACTGCTAAAAGCCCTGATAGACAAATCACGGAAACTCCAAAAAGAAATAGCACTGCTAAAAGCCCTGAGAGAAGTGCATTTATCAAAACAAAAGAAGATACTAGTGAAAATCGAAGTACACGAGATACAATTTCATCATTATCCAAACAGCGAGCCGCTATCACCACTGTTAAAACTGATTTTGGAGTAACAATGAAAAGTACATCAACGCCAAAAACTACAGTAACAACAACAACAACTCAATTGATTTCTGCCCATAACGCTGATGACGAAGTGGAGATCGAAGAAATATTTGATTTACGCATTTTAGAGACTATGGTAAATATATTATTTATATTCATAAATTTTCCGATGTCACTCTTAAGGTACCAAAACACAATGTAAAAATTGTAAAATGTAACTACTACAGATACCTATATAATTTGTTAGTATCGTTAATCAAACAATGTTAACAAAAATAACTGTTTCCTAATGGTTAGAAGGTAACAATTTTGGTCAGTCTCTTATAGAGAATGAAAATAAATAGTAAACACAAGACGTACACAAATCGTAATGTTTAACGATGATGATATAAAATAATACTTAATTAATAGCAGTTCCGTGAAACCTGATGATCATATTTTAATGAACTAAAATGTACTCTCCCGTGGTCTTATTGCCTATGCTCAACGCCGTTAAACGATTACTAATTTAAAAATTGGGTTAATTGTTGATAGGTAAATTATTTCAAACATTGAAATATATAATATATTTTTATTTAATACATTTCATTTGTTTTTAAACTTGTTTCAATTTAAGAAACATGAATATATTTACACATATTTGCATATTTCGCATATTTTTAGCGGATAGTTGCATGCTTATTTCGTTCTTTTTTATTACATACAATTCTCATACAATTGGGCTACACTTCAATCATGAAGATTTAAATACATGAATTAGTCTAAATATACTAAACTAGCTGATCCCGTGCATTTTAAATTATTCATTTTAAGGAGTTGTGTATAGGCAATGTGTGTTTTACCTTGTGACCGAAGTATAATTAATGTATTATTGTATAGGTAACATGAGAAAAAATATTCATTAATGTCTAACCCAACCCCATAATAACTACCTGGATTCCTACATCCTCCTCCGAAGAAACTGTATTATAGGTCGAATAGTACCAATATATTATTAAAGTACACTAAGTTATTAAAAAGTTTTATAAGTTTTGTAAGTAAGTAACTTGAAGTGATAAAAATGTGCATACTTCTAATTATTTGATTTTAGATATGATGAAAAATGTTAGGATTTGTGGACTAGGTTGTAAATGATAGTAATATACATATATATATTATATATATATATATATCGCCGTATTATATATTATTTGTAAATAAATAAAAATAAAAATAATTATTCAAAAAATTTTAAAATCAATTTGTTGTCATACTTTATTGTTAGATCATTTAAATAAAAAGAAATTGGTATGTTTCTAAATCCATAAATACCCGAGTTATGCAAGTCTTTCTTGCTCATAATTATTATAATTAATAAATATAAACTTTAACTTATGTATAATTTATAACAGATAGTACATTAATAAGGTTTATTTATTTATAATTTCAATTTCTTTTTATTATATCGTACTTTAAATTTGTTTAGCTTGAAAAAGCAGTTGGTTACGACCGTAGGAGACGAATAAGAGCACAAATTCGAGTAGTGAAACGTCAATTAGAGACAAACAGCGGAAAAGCAACCAACACTACAACACGTGTTACAAAGGTAATTTATTTTATTTCATAACTTGTATTGATTTATTATTATTTTTAAAAATCATTGTATGGTAAAATTTGACTATAGAACTTTCAAGATGTTTTGCCAGCCAAGACACAAAAACAAAGTAATGTTACTGTTGAAAAAACCGAGTATGTTAAGAAACTTGAAGTTAAAAAGGAAAGAAGTGTTTCTCCACAAAAATCGTATGCAAATCCAATTGGCAATTCTCGATCTCCTTCACCTCAAAAGACTCTTAGGTCAGTTGTGGAAACTCGAACACCATTGCCTACACAAAAAGCTGTTCGAACAATTGAAAATGAACGATCTAATTCACCTCAAAAAACTGTGACATCAGTTGAGAAAGTTCAAACTCTTTCATCTCAAAAAATAACTCCAATTGAAAAAGTCCGATCTCCTTCACCTCAAAAGAGTACTCCAACTGAAAAAGTCCGATCTCCTTCACCAAAAAAAATGTCTGTTGTCCAGAAACAACAAGATTCACGATTCAACAAAAATGAAAAGTCTTCTCGAAATTCTACTATCACCTCTACCTCTACAACAGTCACCAAAACTACCAAAGGTAAATATTTTATAATAATGTATTATACTTCATAGTTCATACATATTTTAGCACTTAACGCTAGGGGGGAATATTTTAATAGGTTAATACTTATTATAGACAATTGTATATATTCTTAAGTAGCAGGCTCTGAAGTACCTAAATAAGGTTTCCACTTTCCACTAAATACCGACATATTATCTGCTTTTATAACAAAAGATGATCAATAGTTAGGTTACCTACTATTACTATTAATTATTAATTATTGCTAGAATTTAAAATGTTGTTTTAAAAAAAAATCGTTTATAGGTAGTAAATAGTAACTCTATTCTTAACTTGTCTAATTCAGAAAGATTATCGTATACACGTCACTATATTGTATACTTTTTATGTAAAGGAAGACAAAAAAAATGTTGTGAAAGTAAAGAAAAATTAACATTTTGTGGGTAACACTGTGGTTTAAATTTTACTTTCTTAATAATATACCGTTATTAAGAACTAAAAATAAAAGACATTTTAACATTTATATTGTTGAAAGCTATCGGAAATTCAATCATGTGTAAAATTGAGTTTTAATCACGGTTTAAGATATATCTTAAACCGTGGTTTTAATATATTATTTTATATTCTAAGTAATAATCAATACAATAATTTAAATTAATCCAAATAATTTAATAATATGAATAATTAAAATCGATTAGTAAACACTTACATTTTATTTTAAGTAGGTACAATAATAGTCTTGAGTGAAAATTAAAATAATATTATGAAGTCTTTTTAGTTTAGCCAAATGTATTTATAAAAATATCATAATAAAATACTCTGAAAACTGGTCATCATATTCATTCTTAATTAAATATTTAATATTAGTCAATATCTAAAACCAAGGTGCTTAAGTACTTGCTGTAAAATTAAGTTAAAAATACGTTTTTTTTTAGTAAATATATACTCGTATATGTATAAATATATGTATAATAGGTAGCTTAATAAATCGAGAACGGATATCAGGATATCACGGATAGAGCTATGCAAATAGTAAATATTTTATGTGTATCCTAGGTCACGATTATTTAATATATATTTACAAATATTAACCATATTTCCAAATCAGTTTTATCTTCATTTATCAAGCAGATTTCTCCAGAAGAGTCAATTTTCGTCATCTTCAAAGAATTTTAAATCGAGTGGTTATAAAATTGTATTTCTTATTGAAAATTATTATAGTTATATTAGTTTATTTCCTACTTATTCTAATACATATTCATTAATTGGCATTTTGTAAGTTTGGTACACAATTTTGTACTTTTTAAACTAGAAGATGATACATTATTTTACATCTGTTACATCTTATCATTGATTATAAATACTAGTACTAGTACTATAATCTTACATACAGTCATGCAGATGTAATCTGATCTTGTGTACTATATTATGTACATACTGCACATAAATTTATCATCAAAAATGATCGAAGCAAAACTTACAATCGACTTTTTATTTACCTAAGTAGGTACTATTGTGCCAAGTCGAGTTTATTTTAAATTTTTACTCGTAGTTCTAGAGACTTCGAACAAATACAAATAGTTATTTTATCGTCATCATAATTTAACACAACATATTTTGTTAACTCTCGAGTCTCAATTCACTATATTTTGAATAAACTGAAAATGAATGCACTCATCCGACGTAAAAGTGCATTTAGTAAGTACTAAGTAGGCACTAGGCACCTACCTATATAACAAGGTATTTATAATACCTATATATTACAATAATTAAATCTATACATAGTTTTTGTACTCAAATATAATTATAGGCACTAAATAAGAAAATTTATTACAAGGGCAAGTAATAAATGTTAAAATGTTAAAAAAAATTAAGCAAACATGACGTGATTAAATGTATATTTAAAATAATAACGACTATGCCAAAAAATAATTCACCGGCAGATAACAATATTTTAAGTAGGTATCTGTATCACCACCAACCAAGTCCAGTTTATTTTATTGGAATACCTACCAATTTAAAAATTTAAGTCATGTATAGTATATTATAGTATTTAAAAAACACAATAAAAATCTCTTTTGAGGTTGTGACGTTTTTTTTCTATAGTATCGGTGGACGGGCGGGGATACTTAGAGTTGGGAGGACAGGGGCACCGCATATTCAAAAATATAAAAATACTTAAGTTAGTGTGCCGAGGCCCGAAGATATAATTCTATATTTAAACAGTTGATATTTGAATATTACAAATATAACATTTTGGTTCATTTTATTTCATATCTATTAATTACATTGGTTTCCGGTTTATTTATGAAATTTAATTGTTGTACACTTGTACGTACATTTGTGCGTACACCAAACCATTAATTTACGGAAAAGCAAATGAGAAATTGTTACGGGCAGCCGACTGCCGGAAGCTTAGAAATCTTCTTAGATCTTGTTATAATTTAAGCAACGTACCTATAGTAAATTGAATACAGTTCAAGATATTGAAATCATTTATTTATTCTACTGAAAACGGTTTGCCGGAGTGCCGCGGAGTAGGAAACACTCCACACGACGACACACTGACATATTTTACTCTCTCCTTTTCCCACCAAATACAAAAACGAGTAATGCAGGAAAAACATAGCTATATATTTCTAAAGTTGTGCAGGTTCATAGACATATTAGGGTAAACAATTAATTTATAATTATTATTCAATTAATATATTGGTTACAGTCACTGTCCACTGATAATTTATAATAATACTTATTTCGTAGTTCGCACACTGTACGTCGATACACCCAATTTATTTCTGTGGCTGCGTATTAAACTATTTTGTACTTGCATAAATGATAAAACTACAATATAATTATATATTATATATACATATTATAATTTTATAGATTCAATTTATACCTATTACCAACCAAATTAGACACAGGCAACTAACAAGTGGTTTAAAATAATTTTAAGAATAAGCTAAATATTAGATTTCTAAATATCAGAAAAACTAAAATTAGGATATCTCAATAATTCTTATTGCCAGCACTTAATGCCGCCTGTCACATATTATATGCCTATTATCGTGTACAATTTATACAACTTCAAAAACGATAAATAATTATTTGATAGTTAACAATAATAATTGTCGGTCGGCGGCCGCCAATGTTATTTGAATACTTAAACACATCATAGTCATCAATAGGTAGGTACCATCGCACGTTCAACAATTTGGTCATCCTCGCTTGTTGGTAGACTTCCGTCGGTAAAGATAATAATATAGGTACGCACATCGTATTGAATATTGCTCAGCAGCTCCTAATGTGCCACCGACCACGGCGGCGCGAGCCAAACGATTTTTGACTATACGTTCCCATAAAATGTACTATAATAGTATAATAGGTACCTACTAGTGGTACCTACCATTCGATCACCGGTCATTACATCGTTTCGCACCATCACTCCTCCCAGCTCGTATAATCAACAGCTACAACAAACATGCACACGTAAAATAATTGCCACCCGACTGCATTTTTTTCACATAAATCAAAACTGTAAATACAGCCCATAAAAATCTGTACACATGTCTGAACCACAGTATATACTATATACAGAAATAGTTTATGCTCGTCGGGCCATCGTGCAGCTCCGGTTTGGCGAAAACTTGAACAGACCGTTTATGGACGTGTGCATTTCAAATATTATATTATATTGCATGGCAGTATTGTATCGGCGTATAGTGTATTATAGTAATATTTTAGGGCTTATTTATACATTAAAATCTGTCCGTTTGCCAATAACTGAGAAAAATATGATGACACGTGGTTGTAGATTTAGTTCGACGACGATAGCGCGATTATTTTATTCGATGTATATAATATTATAACTTATAATAAGTTTGCGCCCTTTAGACGGCCCCCGATTCGGACGTTCGATTGTTAAAATGTACATATCATATAATATTGGACACGGACACACGAGTCGATTTATTACCTTACACCCAGGTGTGAATAGTGGCGGCTTTACGGGGTGTACTGGACCACTCCATAGTGCCTATAAATATTTATGTTATATTATATACACTAGTATAAAATATTAATATAAGGTTATTTATATATCTATTTCAAATATACCGAAATAATATTATATTGTTAAATATTTGTTTTTAATTTTCAACAATTATACATTTATAAAAATAAAAAATATTAGGTAACTTTGAAATATATATTATTTTTAGGACCCCCCGCGCCCCACAGAAAAATGTTGAAAATCCGCCACGGGGTGTGAGTATATTGTAAATATTGTAATCGACGTATATACTGTAATCGACCTGTATGCTTATAATGTATATAGGAACGAAATGAAAAATGTGCCGACGATCGTCAGTATTATTATACCCATACATATTAAAATATTATATAGTCTAGCGTGCGAACAACCTGTTTGAGTAAAACCGTACACACGCGCGTGCAATAGGTATTATGGAGACCGCCGTTTAACATTGTGGCGAGTATTTATATAGTACATCATAATATGTATACCTATAATAGTTATTTCTTACTTATTAGTTATTAGGTACACACACTTGTCCGTCCCGAAGTATGAGGTTTTCGTGTTATCGGGTTATCGGCCGGCGACGACGACGGCGACGTTGAACAGGACGTGTACAGCGTACGATATAATAATAGTAAAAATAATAATAATATTATTTTATCGGCATCATTATTATCATCATTATTATAATATTATTATTATTATTATTATTATTACACAGGTACGATGTACCTAAACGGCGGCGGCCGTCCGTATTGGCCAATCCCCCGCGCACCCCGGGGCCATAGGTTTGTACGATGCCGGAGGGAGGTGGTAGGAGGGACGAGCGCGCGTGATGCGGTTATGAGGTCTTCTCGGTTAGGACGTCCGACATGCCACATGCGGCAGGCAATCCGTCACACGGCACCGGACCGCACGTACGCACACGTCGCCGCCGTCGCGTCCGTCTGATTTTCGACTAGATAATAATAATAATTGTATA